CTGGGATTAGACCCACGACCCGAAGAGGAGCCACGGCCAGAATATTGACTTCGTCCGCCACGGCCACGTAAACCAGAGGGGGGTCCACGGGCGATGTTAGCGGTGACCGGTGTTGGTGTAGGCTCCGATTCTTGAAGTAGTTTAAGTTCCCGATTAATAAGTTTTTCATGTAGCTCGGTAAACGTAATGCACGTTTCTCGTCCTTCAACGGCGTCAATAACAGACTTATATCCATCATCCAGGCCATTAAGAATATGATCGATGAAATCTTCATGGTCAAGGGGTTTACCAAGAATAGCGAGTTCATCGGCGGCATTTTTAATAAAGTGCATATACTCAGTGATGGTCTTGGATCCCTTAGTGTATTTCCTGAGTTGAGATTTGAGTTGTTTGATATGGCCTCGAGACGGTTGAGCGTAAACTGAAGCCAGAGTGTCCCAGGCAGCCTTAGTAGTAGTAGCACGGGTGATAAGAGGAATCACAGCAGGGGTGAGAGTGCCAATTAACGCACCAAAAAGGAGCTTGTCTTGCCGGATCCATGAAGTATAGGCCGGATTTGGGGCGGAGGTGGTAGAGCCTTCAGTAGTGATACGAGGAGATGGGCAGGGAGATGTGCCATCAAGATAACCTTCTAGATTGTATCCAGTCAGAATAGACTGAATTTGGAGTTGCCAAGAAATATAATTTGTGGGAGTGAGCTTGATCACATTACCAAGATTAATAGAAATGAGAGGTTTATTAGGTTCAGATGAATTGGGAATATGAATCTGAGAAGAGATGTGCTCAGAATCATTTTCGGCGTCATCCATTGAAGCAGACGGCATTATAGGTGAAAGCAGGTGAAATAGCAGAGAGAGATGTGGGATCGAGAGTCTGATACCATATAAGATTGATAATTAAATTGTATTACTGTTGTGATATACATGGAGTATATATACACGTACAAGTAGTCTGTAACTAACTAAAGGATAAAGCTAAACATTTAAATGAAAATAAGGAGATAATTATAGTTAGTTACAAAGAGATAAATATTAGAATTAGGATTTATCTCTATCAGTATATAATTTGATTACACACATTTTTAGTTTGTTTTTTGCAAGAAAAAATCATATATTAAAATTATATGAAATATAATGCAAAACATGAAAGAACGCATTTACAACTTGAAAATATAAATATTAAATGTGCTTTATTATAAAACGTATAACATTCCCTGTTTTTTTGAAAAAATTATAACTAAACTGTTGTTAATTGCATATTCAAATTGGAATTTTTATTAGTAGAATTAGTATTGTACCCGTGCGATGCACATGACAAAAGTGTTTTTGTATTTTGTTTATAATTTAAGACACATATACGACATTAAACATTATGGCAAATTTCTGGATATACGATATTTAAAGCTTGTTTGGTGTATCAAAATCGGCTGATTCAGCTGAAATTTATGAAGCTCTAATTTTTTTAAGCATATGAAGTTCTAGTTGAAATGACTGAATTGACTGATTCTGCTGATTCATGTAAAAATCATATTCAAAATATATTTCATTGATAAAATAAAGAAAAAATTGTATGAAAAAATAGCAAAAATTGCAGTTTATATTAACTTCAGCCCATACAGCCAGAAAAGAAACTCCAACATTACTTTTTCTTATTATTACACAATTAAACGCACGAAATAAAAAATTATGTGTCTAAAAAAAATTTGGCCGATAAGGCGAAAAACATGCTCTACAAATGGGAATAAGAGCGATATTTCTTCTTGACTACAAATGCATTTATAATCTTTCTTATTGACTAAAATAATTCTATAAACACTTTTCGTATTTGAAGAATTCATTCAGATCCCGGGTTTTTATAAGAATATTACTAGAATAAAACTCATTTGCATAAATATGATTGTTCATTACTACAACGTAGTATTGTGGTAACTTAAGTTCAAAACTGGAACATGAATTACTATGATTTCATTACTACTCTAGTAACTAGTCATATTTTTGAAAGCCATCTTTATTTTGGTCTAATTATTTCTAAATTAATTCAAATTAAAGGTTCATTCAATTCAATTGGATAGGATATGTGTGAATGTAATTGGAAATTAATGGTCCATTTCTATTCAAAACATAAAATTGGACTCTATCCAATTGTCAATCAATAGCCCATATAAAATCAGCCCATCTATAATCCTAGGTTTAGTACTACGCATGAAGATATCTATACATCATCACTTCACTCTCACTCTACCACACAGCAGCTCTGGAACTCTCCAGAGTGTACTACACTTCACCATCTATCCTCGCACAACTCATCGTCTGCTAGGAACCAAAACCTTGACATCCTTCGTCTCCTAGCGTCCGTGTCCGCTTCTATATAGCTTAATTTCACATCTCCCCCTAAGTTTATACACTGAGCTTATTGAACTATTTTTTAAAAAAGGTTGCCACCTCAAATAATAAACACCAATTGAACTGATTTGGTTTTTTATAACTAATAACTTATATGTCATTCTTCTTTTATGTGTTATCCACTATATATAATAATTAATCTACCATATGGAGTACTTCTTTGACTGAAGGTTTATAACTTATCTCCTCAGATCAGGACTTAAACATGAATTCTTTTGAGAGATGCTCTTATTAGACTACATATTTTGTTTCATAGTGAGTATGGCAAAGTTTGTCAATAAACATTGGTGAGTATATATACAGTCAATTTCAAATTTGCTTCTAAACCTTGACATCCTTCGTCTCCTAGCGTCCGTGTCCGCTTCTATATAGCTTAATTTCACATCTCGCCCATTTTCGTTTCGTCCCTGTCAACATACACTTATCTACATAGCTTATTATATTTGTTGTTTATCTAATACAAATTTCCCTTTTTAATTGAATATTGTTTCTTCTCTTGTATTGATTGATGTGTATGCAACCGAATTTTGCAGAGTGGTAAACGAAGGCAGAGATCTAAAAGATGCACAATCTGCGGACGATTATTCTCAAATCCGGTAGCATTTATACTATTACTCTTACAATTATTAATTCTTTGACGACTTTCTATTTTTTATTGTCAATTTTTGACGACTAATCCTCACACACACTGTACACAATATATCTGGTGAGGTACAATACGTTCTGGCCATCCTTCGTTTGCTAGGTCTCCCCATCAAAGTTTCACCCCCTCCTCTTCCGTTTCATCTCTGTGAATACTATAATCTCACCCGCGCGATGCGCGGGATATTAAAAAATAATCATGTTACCACAAATTTTTTAAATGTTATTAGGTTGTGTGAAATGAAAGTAAATTATCATATACTCCGTACGTAACATGCATAATAATTTATAAATAAAGTTCGAATAGTGAAAATTCAGATATAAGTATTAAGTATGTTTTGCAATTAGTAGAAAAAAGCAAACGCTAAATTTGATTTTGAGTAAAGGGTCAGTTTAGTCCTCGAAGTTGCAAAAAAGGCGTCAAATAAGTCCTTATATAGAAGATTCTGTCCGGACGTGCCATTTGAGGTGGCTCCCGGTGGAATTTTGTGATAATTTTTTTGAGCATCTTATTCATTAAGTCTAGTTTACTCATACCAAATTTCAGTTAAAAATTCAATCGGGAAGACATTCAAATGAATTTTTGAAGATAACAGCGCTTTTAACGGCACAATTATCTTCAAGAATTCATTTGAATGTCTTCCCGATTGAATTTTTATCTGAAATTTGGTATGAGTAAACTAGACTTAATAAATAAGATGATCAAAAAATTTCATCAAAAAATTCCACTTATTTGACCCCTTTTTTGCAACTTCAAGGACCAAACTGACCCTTATCCCATTTGATTTTACAATCTAGACATTGCAAACAGGGACGGATCCAGGATTCTGAGTCAAGGGGGGCGAAATTTTTCGTTAGTGTAGGGGGTGATTTTTTTTGTTAGTATAGCGGGGTGAAATTTTTTTCCCTAGTATACCGGGGCGAAATTTTTTCGCTACTGTAGGGCTATGCGGCTATTTTTATTCAAAAAATGACATTAATACATGCACCTACATTCCGAACGACATTTAAATCTATTACATTCTACGTTTAGACGATGACAAAGACATCAACCAATACATTTTCAATAACTTCTACATTGTTTAACCCATGAATCGGTTATTGAATTGTAATTTTTGTCAACCAAGGAGAGTGTTCGTATGTCATGACTCATGAGAATTTTTCTTAATATTACAATAGTAGTATACTAGTATGTATGGGATTTTTATTTTTAGAATAATATGCACCACATACACACACACATATATGGTGCATATTTTATTTTAATATTTTTATTAATTCTATAATAATTTAGAGTTTATTATTCATGCAATAAATTATTTTTAGAAAGCAAGAAGTAAATGAATTATGTAATCTAATGTCTATAAATATTTATATTTTGGATTCATTTCACGTGATCTAAAAATTGTGTAATTAGTGTGTCTGGTATTTAATATTGTTTGATATATGTTTTACGAAATCCAGTACTTGTTATCTAATAAAGATAATGAAACATTACAAAACTAGGAATTCTTATATAATAAGTATCCTAAATCATAAATAACGAGTTACTCTATTGTTTATTTGTTTAAGTTATGTAGATTATTTTAGATGTTTCTTCTTTTAAATCTCCAATTAAGTATTACATTATGTAAGACTATATATATTAATTTTGAAAATTAAAAGCTAAGGGGGGCGAATCTAATTAAATTATGAAAGTTTTATGAAAATATTACATATATGGTAAAAAAAATTGAATGTCCAAGGGGGGCGGTCGCCCCCCCGCGCCCCCCCCCTAAATCCATCCCTGATTGCAAAAAACTTCCTTACAAACTACATTTGTGATTCGGTCCAATTAGTTGTATTCAGCTCATTTCAACCTAGCCACTCCATTTATTAAGAACACCCGTAAATGGAAAGCAGACTTTTAAATTTTGGACCCAGTCCATCTACTTTTGATCCAAAGAAGCCCATGTCAACCCAGCCACTCCACCAAACCCTAAATATATAACCCCTTATTTCGCTAAGGACTCGCCATTAGCCGCACATTTGTTTAGAGCAATCGGTTAAATCGAAAACTCCTCTCTTCTTTGCATGCCTGATTTTTCATCTCATGCCGAAATTGACATCGGTTTTCCTGAATGAGTTGGCGTCCTTCGGCCTTATCTTTGTCGCCAGAGTATCTGCGTATTCCGGTTGAGGCCGGCCTTTGCAAACTATTTTCGTCATATGGCCGACTTTGTTTGCGGTATATTTATGAAGCACAGTTTCAGTTTTTCTGGCGACTTTGTTGTCGCCAGAGTAACTGCGTTTTGAATTTCCTTTTAAAAAATCTCTGTTTCTGCACCACAACCCTGTGTAAAAAGAAATTACAGCCTAATTAAGATAATTAGGATTTTTAATTTAAGATGCGTCTTGTGGAACTACCCAACGGGTAAGTTACTAAGCTAATTAAGATTTTTAATTTTAATTACAGCCTTGTTTAGACTTTCGTATTACAGTATTGTTTAATTTTAAGTTTTAGTTTTATTGTGTTTTTAATTCAATTTAAAGACTAAATTGAAGCCTTGTTTAGTATGAATTTGATGGTTATTTATAAAGTTATAACCATCATTTATAGTAGTATGAATATACTTGTGATTTGTAATTATTAATTTTTTTTGGCAAAGCTTCCTAACCCATTATAGTATCTGTTCTATGTTAAAGAATAATTTTTTTTACATGTAATAAAACTAGTACTACATATAATTAATCCAGTGTTAGTGCATAACATGTGAAAGATAACTACAAAGCTGAAATTCTCACATACAACTATATAGAAGGAGTTCAAAATTTCCAGGAAAATAAATAAATTATACTACGCATTAAATAAATATTAGTGATTTATTAGTTTTTAATCTACTCCAGCAACTTCTATAAAAACAGCAATATATTAGCTACTTAATTCACAGGTTAATTAGAGTATCATTGTATATTAGTTTTGAGATTTTGTTAGATATTTTTCAATTATAAATTAGTATACATAAATAAATTTTCAGATTTTAGATTTTATTTAAGTTCTTGCTAGTTCATGAAGAATAAATAGAACTAAACATTTTAAAAAAACTATGAAGTTTAATACTAATATATAAAAAGTATTAAAGTATTGAAATTGATAAAAATGTGTAATTTTGGAAAAACGAAACAAAACAGAAAAGCATAATTATTGAAAAAGTTTGAATCTTTTTTTGATAAAAATTAAAGAATACGGTAGATTTGTGAATTTGATGATAGTTTGGGATATAATAAGCTAATAATTCTATTTTTTCGGAATTTATATTTTTTGAATTTTTTAAAATCATATAAGGGTGTGTTTATTGCTTAGACTTTGTAGTAGTTGTTTTTTGTGCGTTGTATGGTAAGAGTAGTGTAAGACTTGTAAAATTCTAGTGTTCTTCAGAGTGGTGCTCTGGCATAGCTTTGCTACTATTTAGGGAAGTTTATGATTTCATAGCTAGGCACATGGCTGAAGAAGTAGCTGTGTGTATGGGATAAAGAAATAAAATAGGCTGAAAAATAAAAAACACACACTGCATTGATTAGTGATTAGAACTATGAGAGTATTTCGAGATTGAAGAAATGTTTTCCAAATTTATTAGTATTGGTATGGTATTGCCTTACCAAACCAAACCAAAAGGGTATGGTACCAAACTATTCCAACCCAAAAACCAGACCATACCGAACCGTAGTTCGAAACCTCATGGTACGGGTTATGGTAATTTGTTGTACTGCTCTGGACTGTGGTCATACCAGCTGCTTGTAATCACATCGAGTGGGGCTTTTTTTTTACATTGTTATTCATATTTTTTGTGATTTTTTTCTCTACCTAATATGTATTATGTATATTTATTCCATTTATTCCTGTGGGGCTCTTTAGTCAAGAAGATTATAGGATTTTTTTCTATAATATATCAATGGGCTACCATTTGTAGTTATTAGAATAATCTCATTATAGAGTATTGTCCCGAGACCGTGTAAAAGACATGAATAGCCCTGCTTACTTCCAATCTTATCAAATAGGCATTCTAAATCAAACGTGAAAAGCAATTCTCCTCAATATAAGGTATCATAAATTGAAAACATGGACTCTCAGGTTGTTTTAGAAGTTTGTGAGTAAATTAGTTAGTTAAATTTAGTTATGAATTATTGGACCATTGAAGACTCAATTTTCTTATTTTGTTGGTATTTGGTGATTTACTAATGTTATGTTTTTTTTGAAAGTTTGTAATGTTGAATAAGTATAAGGAAAAATTGAAAATAATAATCCCAACTATTGCTGATCCGCTGACAATAATTCCAACTATTGATTATTTTTGTATAATCCTAAGTATATGGACCGTCCGCCAATAATGGTCCATGACCAGATATTACCTCTTATAACAAGTGTTTTTGTAAAAATTAAGCATAAAAATTAAAAGTTGGATTATTTATAGGGATTACTTGCTATATCTCTTCTCATCCACTTTAAAAACTACAAGAATTTATTTATAAGGACCATTATTGGCGGAAGGTCTCTAAAGTTGGCATTATTCAGAAATAATCGATAGTTGGGATTATTATGAGCAGACCGCCAATAGTTGGGATTATTACTATCAATTTTTCCTAAATATAAATATTGTTACTTAAATTTTCTTCTAAATTAATTTATGGCTTTTATTGTTTACATAAATACGAGTATATTGTTTTAACTTAACATAGTGATTAATCATCATTTATTGATCTATCAATTAATTCAATTGATATTGGAGACTCAAAACTCAAGGACATTTAAAAAAGAAACAAAGATTCTAAGAATTTAATATAGTGGAAAGTGGCCAAATGTTTGTAAGATTATGAGTGGTTAGAATGACATACAAACATTATATAGTAAGAGTTAGTTTTGTTGTGATTCTTATAATGTGCGGAGTAAGTAATAATGATTTGTTTCTTTACTTGCAGATTTACCCGCAGCATTGAAGATAGAGATCCCATAAGCTTTGGCTTTGCCTCTTTCAATGACCACATCTTATCTAGCTAATTTGGAGTTAACTGGGTGTAGTATGAAAACAACCATCTCATGCCAAAAATTACATACTCGGAGCTCTTATTTATGTGTACATGAATCTCGATGCTCTTTAATTGCTGGTTCACAAACATCTTTAAAGCTGCACCCTCAAAGCAAGACGAAAACCAACATCATGTCCACAACTCCCGATAGAAGCAGCCACATTAGCAGTACAGAGAATAAGGTTAGCAGTCTTACATATAAAGATGCTGGAGTTGACATTGATGCAGGCTCAGAACTTGTCAGGAGGATCGCCAAAATGGCACCTGGAATTGGCGGTTTTGGAGGCCTTTTTCCTTTAGGTATTTTTCTTTGAGCGGTTTGAACTCATTGGTCTATTTAAATGAGTTTTTTTATATCAGTATTCTACATATGCTGTTGCTAAATATGAAAAGAATATTCTACACTAAACCATATAAACAGAGTTAAAATCTTTGTCAAGCTGAGTAGACTCTTATGGCATCAACTTTTATTCTTATGTATGTGTACTAGTTCAAGCTCTAGAGGCTTGATAATTTATAACGATGTAAATTGAGAGTTTGCTGGTGATGTGTTTTACTGGATTCAATGTTGCTAAAGTTGTGACGTGCATCTCATGTTCTTTTTGTTTTGGAAAAACCTCAAGGCTTAATAGTTTAAACTTTAAACCTCCCTGATCCTATTTGATGTTTAAGTTTCATGCATGCTACTATGATCCTTACCCGGTCAATATTTTTAACTTGACTTGTTTTATTTAATATATTTTATGTGGTGCAATGGTCCTTTCAAAATATATTCTAATATTACCCGATTTTTGATGTATTTCTATTCCCTGTTGTTTAACAATATTATTACTATATCAGGTGATTCCTACCTTGTGGCTGGTACTGATGGAGTGGGAACGAAATTAAAACTTGCTTTTGAAACTGGAGTCCATGACACTATAGGGATTGATCTGGTAAGTTTTCTTTTTATTTTACATCACAAATAGTTACTTTTGATGTAAGTCATAAGCTTGTGTCACTCCGAAGTTAAAGAGGCATTTTTGAATCAGGTTGCAATGAGTGTTAATGATATTGTCACCTCTGGAGCTAAACCTTTATTTTTTCTTGATTACTTCGCAACAAGTCGCCTTGATGTTGATATGGCAGAAAAGGTATATGTGTACAATTCACATATTAAGTGGTCTTGGAGTTTTGTATATTATATTATCTGCTCATTTGCTCTTTACTTTTTATTATTATTATTATTATTATTATTATCATTAGGTGATAAAAGGTATTGTAGATGGTTGCAAGCAGTCTGATTGTGCCCTATTGGGGGGAGAGGTAGCCATTAAACTCTCAAAACAAATATATATGTATGTGTGTTACATTTTTAAGCTATCATATCATATCAATGTATTAGCTTTAAAGTACCACACATAAATTAATGTTCGCAATGACTTTTATTAGCATGTTGTGGTGAAATTTATATATTAACTCTGACTTCTGGTTGTGTTGAATGTATCAAATTATTGATTCAGACCGCAGAAATGCCAGATTTCTATGCAAGTGGGGAGTATGATCTTAGTGGTTTTGCAGTTGGTATTGTGAAAAAGAATGATGTTATTGATGGGAAGAATATTGTTGCTGGAGATGTCCTCATTGGTCTTCCATCTAGTGGAGTTCATTCAAATGGATTTTCCCTTGCCAGAAGGTTAGAGCTAGCTATTTTTTCCCTAGTTATGCATCTTGTGCTCTGTTTTGAATGGATGGAAGGGGGCGTGATGATTGATTTTAATTTACCAATTTACCTGTAGTTTTAGACCACACATAATTATATGACTACTTAAATCATATATATTCAAATAATTTTTTATTCACTTTCTTTTTGATCATTTATTTTAAAAATAATTTTAAAAATAAATATGGATCTTCCCCTTCTCTCCGCTCCAAAATCCCTGAAGGCCTGAACCAAACAGGCCTTATGCTAAGAAAATGAAATATGCTTCCAGGGTGCTCAAGCAAAGTAACCTTTCTTTGGACGACCAACTTCCCGGCAGCTCTACTACATTAGGTGAAGCTTTAATGGCCCCAACTGTCATTTATGTTAAGCAGGTAAAACTATAATTTACTAGCTGCTGCATTAATGTTTTCAATGTGCACCACTTAGTGATAATCATAACTGAACTTCGTATATAAGTATGCTTTGTTTTGAGATAAGGTGATGATATTTTTTATTTTCCTTATAAATGTTGCTCAAGGTACTTGAGATTATCAATAAAGGTGGAGTTAAAGGGATAGCTCACATCACAGGAGGTGGTTTTACAGATAATATACCTCGTATATTTCCTAAAGGTTTGGGAGCTGTTATCTATAATGATTCCTGGGTAGTTCCTCCTGTATTTAAATGGATTCAAGAGGTGAGGTTATTCTTACCTGTTCAGTTTGAATCTTTTTGCGCTGCTAGGACTAGTTCACTTGAACATATTTCACAGGCCAGACTTAAGGAAATCCGATCTGCCCAACATAAAATGATAATAAAATAAATTATACATAAAGCGGCCATATGAACATGTCTGTGTACATAATATCTGATCCTGCATTTTTAAATATCTATGATGTCAAGGCGGGTAAAATTGAAGATGCTGAAATGAGGAGGACTTTTAACATGGGAATCGGGATGGTCCTGGTTGTGACCCCAGACATGGCTCTTAAAATTTTAGAGGACAACTCATGCAATGCTTTCCGTATTGGTGAGGTAGTTGACAAAGATGGAGTAAGATACCATTAACAGTGGAGGCAAGAGCATTCTGTATCAGTATAAGATATGTTTTTCTCACATTCTTCATCTCAGGGCTCTGGAAAATTACTGAGCAGTGGAATGTGATATAAGCAGGTTCATGATTTTGTAGAAATAAAACAGGCCAAACTGTAGGGGTTATGTAGACTAGTGTGAAGTTGGCCATCTCAGTTTTACTATTTTATCGAAGTTGGTTCTCATTTTGTACTATGAAAGCTGTCAATTTAGCTCAAAAACTCTTTAACAGAGATCCCTTTGGTTCTACATTTTTTTAAATCAATTTTGACATTCAGCTCCATTGGACCAAGGGAGTGTTTGCATGAACTTAAAAGTCTATAATTTGAGTTTGTAAGCCAGTTTGGCTAAATATATTTAAAACTTTTCCTCAGAAACTATCAAGGGGCCTATCCCATGTCAATAACAACAACATTACCCAGTGCATCAAACGGGCTCAATACTAATTGTCAATAAAAATACTTCGTATTGGATAAAGCATGATGTATGAACATATGGATAAAGGTTTGTGAGTTTAAATTAGGGGCGGGACCGGGCTCGGCCCTTAGTATTTATAGCGTGGTATACTGGTAACTACCTGGTTTGGTCCGGTACCGGTCTATGGTCAGGCCTAGTCCTGGACTCAGGCCGGGTGGCCTGACCCGGAACTGGCCTGGGACCGGCCTAGCCTGGTGGCCCGGCCAGTGATCGGTCCGGGTAGGCCCGGCCCAAGGGGTTCCCGGTGCGGGCTCGGGTCACCCAAAAGCCGAACCGGCCCGGCTGGTTCGGGCCTGGTTCCGGGCCTTTTATTTTATTTTATTTTCAATTTTTTTTTCAATTTCTTTTATCTTTTCGGGTTGGGCTGGATATTTTGGGCCATTTGGGGTGGGGGGTGGGGGGTGGGGGTGGTTAATTAGGAAAAGGAAAAAAAATTGACCTGAGGCCCAGCCTGGCTCGGCCCGGACTTGGTGGCTACTTGGGCCGGTCCCGGACCTCCTTAAAAAAACCCGAGGCCCGACCGGGCTTAGGCCCGGCCCGGGTCCATGACTAGTCGGGCTTGGGTTGTATTCGCCCATTTTTATTTTTTTAAATTCAAGCCCTTTGGCCTAGACCGGTACTGGAAAGCTAGGTACCAAAGAGTACTGGTCTGGGGTCTGCTTGTGTTGGGCCGCCTGGGCCCGGGCCACCCCTAGTTTAAATGGACTTTAAAGCTACTGGTAATAGATTAACACTACATTCTACTCACTGATTTTTTCCAGTTCAGAGTATTTAAAGCTCTACAAATTTAAAGCCTTAATTTCTTATATCTACATTTAATAAATTTAGGAAATGCGGAAATGAAAATTATGTTTTTTTTAGGGAAATGAAAATTATAGTTTACACAAGAACATCATGTGTGGATGAGCGTTAGCTGATGTAGGGGCAATGAATCCAATGATGAATAATAATGCGTTCATATTAAAAGAAAAAGGGCAGCAATTGGACTTTGACATCATGTCCATTATCCATCTACAATATCCTCTTCTTCTTTTGCGATTTGTTGGAATCCATATCCTTAATGCCGCTTTCATACACCAGTTGGCAAAAAGCAAGTTCCTCTATCTCTTTCCCACTAAAAGAGGGCAAATCAAATCACACTCAATAAATTGAAGTATACATGATAGTGGACTGGATTTTGGGGAACAGAATGATGGAACTCCAATGGATTAAATGTGTATGAATTTAAGTTGTTGAATATGAAACCTGCGGAGAATAAATATGCAACTGCTCACAAGTTTAATTGGGCTAACAAAGCTAGGGTGAATTGATGAGAGTTACGGTTGATATTTGTGTTATCTTATGAGTAGTTACTTTTATTTGTGCTTGTCAGTTGATATGCCAAATAATGTCGAGGATGACGAAATAACCACTCACAAAATCGAACAGGTAAATTTGGAGTGAATTGATAGATAAATGTAATATTTCTGTCAACATTCTTAAATTAGAACTTGTAACATCTACTTTGAAAGTGTTATCGCAATGTCATCACATCACAAAGCAATTGTGGCAAATTTGATATCAACACCAATTGTGACAAATTTCGTTTGATATCACTAAATGCAACACTCTTGAAAAGTATTAATCGGTAATAACTAATATTTCAAATTAAATTTTTAGTTAAATTTGGATACAACAAGAATCCGTACTAGAGAAGTTGAAAATGATGACAGTACATGTCACCTACACGTAATATGCCTTGTCCAACTGAGCGCGTGGATCTTTGAGATTGAGGATTTAATCTTTGGAGGAACACAAAATGTATTAGAGATTATACTTGTAACCCTACTCTGCTCACATGTGGTATATAGTTATATACATCTACCTTAATTATTTAAATGGCCAAACCATTGAACCAATCAAGTCTTTGAAACAGACAGAGCATTTCACCACAACACGATGCTTTAACACTATCACGTATTCACGTGTACGGATACTTTAACCCTTGCATGACTAAAGATAGTAGCGAGGGTTTATCAGGACAGCCGCTTAGGATTGTATGTTTGATTTCCCTTAAATTGGATTAAATATTACCTTTAATTTCTACCCCTAATTTAATTAATATAATTAGTTGCCCTTAACTCCTTTGCATAACCAAGGCTAGCTTAGCGCCTTGGTGATGTTCTGACTCGTAGGTTCTTGGACTAAATAGCTCCCCTTGCGGGTTGTGAATATACCCACAAATTTATTGAAATCTAACCATCATTCCGACCTCCAGGTGGGAAGAAAGTCATTGCTAGCTCTATGACCGGTGCTAACGTACATACATACACATGGTAGTTCTGTATGTTTGAATCGTTTCGTACGTTTTCTGTATGAAAGCAATATTTTTTAATAATTTATTTAAATGACTTCTAGATTAAATCTAAACTGAAATTTTGTATACATAATCTACACTATATAGAGAACGTGCTCATAAATTTTTATCAAAAAATTCCACTTGGATGCATATTAAAAAATTCCTCCTGATAAGTCATTAGTTTAAGACTGAAAATCAATCCACTCACACATACTATAAGGAATTAAATCTGAGCCTCATTTTTTTTCATTTTTGGGCCGACCCTGTGCAGATATCCTATATATACATATGGTATATACCACAACTTAAAATTAGGTTAACGAGAATCGGAGTAATTTTCCCATATCTCCCTAATTAATCTGGGTAAAATATTACCCCGTAGTAACTTTTATTTACCTCAAATTCGGTATTTTTTTTCGCCGTCGATCTCCTCAATGGGTAAACCGTAAACCCCATTTTTTTCAAATTTATTTATTTTTGTAAATCTTTATACATATAAAGGGAATATGGTGGAAATCCAAATAGAAATCTATTTGGAGCCAAAAGAAGTGAAAAATTGTTGTCACTATTAATGAAGCATTACTTAATGAAGTCATATTAAGTGTCAACCTAATTAATTGTTGTAAGTTACAAATAAAACTTTAGGAAATTGTTGTCACTATTAATGAAGCATTACTTAGTGAAGCCATATTAAGTGTCAACCTAATGAATTGTTGTAAGTTATAAATAAAACCTTAGAAGATTATATTGAGCATAAATACATTAAGTATTAAAAAAAATATTAGAAAAATATTAAAAGACACATATACATAATTAATTAAGAGACATAATATAATAAAGTCAAAAATGAAATGTTCTAATTTCAGAGTATAAAATAGAGTATTACATTATATTTGGATACAAATATTATGCAAAGGACAATGATAATACTTAGTACCCCATTAAATGTGTCCAGACTTGCATGTGGAATATAAATAAAGTAAAAATTACTTTGTATGTGATTGAAATTTTTACAAATGAGTTGAGAAAAATATTTACCCACACATTTATTAGTTTAATTAAATGGAAATGACAATTTTTGTTGGGGCAGTTGCAAAAATATAGTTAGCACATTTTAACGAGATGAGGGAGTAATTGTTTTTTTATAATTAGCTGCAACATAAAATACAAAATTCATTCATTAAATTCTACTATAACTATTCATTAGTAAACAAGTAACTATTTTAAACATCCTTTAAAATCACATTTTTTAATGATGTTTCCTGATTTTGAAATGATTTTTAGCATTTCCAGTTTTGTTTATGAGTCAAATTGGTTCAATGATATTGAATTATACAATTTTACGATTCAACTCGCGACTTTAACAACATTGATATGTAGTGATTTTAACAATCTTGATCTGTAGCTTTTATAAAACATATATTGAGATGAATAAAGAGATATTACGGAGTATAAAATAAATATTTTCACTTTTTAGATGGAATATATTTAGAAACTTTAAAACACAACAAGATATTAAAAAGTAATGTCATGTGTTGAAAAATCATCATAATTATAACTAAATAATACTCCATACTACATATGAGATTGTAATATGATAACAATTGTTATCATCTTCAATCTTCATTAGACAATATATGTATGTGATGAAAGAATACTTATTTGGTAGTTTTATTACTTTATACCAATTGGTGTATCTCTAACAATTATCATACATGTATTCTAATATAATTCCATATCGTGTTTGTATTTTTATACAATAAGTATGTATATACACATTACTCATGAAATAAATTATTTGTAAAAATAAATTGATTTCACTTATTCTCCGTGCAACGCACGGGTGGATTGACTAGTTTATTAATGAATGGTTATAGAGCGGGATATATTCGGCGCCATCAATAGGCTGAATGAGGAAGCTGGCCGGGAACTTAGGTAATATATAGGAATCGGTCTTTCCTCTTTTTCCGGAAATGAATCAAAGATTCCTTCTAAACAATTAGCTGTCATCACCTTCTAATTACCACAAAAATCATGATTCTGTATATTTCCACCATTTTGGCCTCATTCACCGCATATTTGTCTTACATATGTATATAAATTCCGATTCGATACGCCTGCATCTAAAGATACCCTATCCCGAACATCCTTGTCCTGAAGTGAATCTCCGTACGAATCCGGAATCCCGGCGGACGGAAAATGTGTAAAGTGACGGACGTTGAGACAACGCCGCCGGCGGTGGAGGATGACGACGTGTGCGCCGTGAAGCAGGTGGATCTGACGGTGTCGAAGACCGACGACCCCACAATGCCGGTGCTGACGTTCAGAATGTGGGTCCTCGGACTGAGCTCGTGCGTGCTTTTGTCGTTCATCAACCAATTCTTCTGGTACCGGACGGAGCCGCTGACGGTGACGGCGATCTCCGCCCAGATCGCGGTGGTTCCGCTGGGGCACCTCATGGCGAGGGTGTTGACGAAAAGGGTGTTCTTAAAAGGGACGAGGATGGAATTCAACCTGAACCCGGGGCCGTTTAATGTGAAAGAGCACGTGATGATCACGATCTTCGCCAACGCCGGCGCCGGAACAGTGTATGCGACGCATATCTTG